TAAACAGTCAGTTTGGAATCCTGTACTTCATCAGTGGTCATCGCCGCCTTGATCCACCGTGTACAGACACGTTGTTCTAGGATGTTTAGAACTTCCTCAAGAACCACAGAAAATGTAGGTTGAGCTAAACCAACATTAAAATCGTTGCCGCTACTCTTTTGGTAACTGCCATCGCTTTGATTGCTTAAAGAAGTCCTTCGTCACGTTGAGTAAATATATAAACGCTTCTTTGTTCAGCCTAAAGTAACTAATGAATCTGAAAAAAGAACTATGAAAAACTTTCTGCAGTATCATTAATACAATAACGTACTTGTCCGTTGGTAGCACCAATGGATTGGTCTGGTCTATAAGGCTCCTTCTAATACGTGTAAGTTGTACATTTTCTTCCTCTTCATCTTCCGAAAAATACATTTCCACGGAGATGTCCATAGTAAACAAATATATTTAAATTTTCACAAAATTTGTTGTATACTCGCGAAACTTCCAGCTGATTTGAGTTGTCAAAATTAACAATTTTCAGGTTGACAATAACTTAACGAAGACAACTACAATTGGTTGTGAATCATAATACAAAAAAAATAGTTGAGTTGAGTTGTAACATTGACCACTCAACTGAGTTGAGTTGTCAATCATAATAGGGGCAGTAAATTAAAAATGCATGAAAACGTCAGAAAAAAAAATTATAGCCGACGAATTGAAAGAATGATTTTACCTTGTAATGTTTTATCATGGTATAAATTATTTAAAATATAAAAAACCGTCTTTAAAAAAATTGCCAGGGCTTTTTGCATTTCATTAACGACATGTGGGTAATTATTGGTTAGTTTAATTTTTGAGGTACACGTGAATATGCTTATATCCTCTTCGGACTCTAGGTAGTCACGCATGTGGGAAAAGTTTTTGATTGCCATTCACCAGGGAGCGGACAAAAACCGTTTTTTGCATCCGGTTCAAGAACCTGAGAACGTTTGGTTTTCTTTGGGTAGGAACCGAACTCCCATTCGAAAGCGAGCTAATTGTGAGTAGACCACTAAGGAACAACTGATACGATGAGGAATGCCGCGAAACTGTTTGGGATCGATATACATATGGTGAACATTTTTCTTTTTAAGGTTACAGTTGCACGTATATTTCTGTTTATATTTCTGAAACGTGGTATAACAACCGAAAGTTTTTCACTTATCCTGATAATGTACCCCAAAAGCTACATACATTTGTTTGCTATCTTTTGCTGTTTTAAAGATAAATGTAGTTTTAGTTATATATAACATCACACATAAGGAAGGTTTTAAGACCAGGGCGAACTCTTGTAAGAATAACAATGGCGACCTGGTAACTGATGTCCAGAACATACTTAAATTATGGAGGGAACACTTTTCCACCCTACTAACAGCTCTGTAAGCTGTGGAAAAGACGAACTCGCCCCCCGGTCGATCATGACGGAGTCTATGTTCCACCACCTGACTATGACGAGGTAGGAATAGCAATAGCGCTTGAAAAACAACAAAGCTGCTGGAGCTGACAGCCTGCCAGCTGAGCTATTCAAGTACGGCGGCGAGGAGTTGGTAAGGTGCATGCATCAACTCTTATGCAGAATATGGTCAGATGAACGCATGCCCGACGACAGGAATTTAAGTGTGCTCTGCCCAATCCACAAGAAAGGCGACCCCGCCATTCGCGCTATCCACCGCGGGATCAGCCTTCTAAGCATAAGTTACAAGGTCTTATCGAGCGTATTGTGTGAAAGTTTGAAGCCCACCGTCAACGAACTGATTGGGCCTTATCAGTGTGGCTTCAGACCTCGCAAATCCTCCATGGACCAGGTATTCACAATACGCTAAGTCTTGGAAAAGACCCGCGAGAAAATGATCGACACTCACCACCCATTTGTCGACGTCAAAGCCGCTTTCGATGCGATGTCTGAATCATCTTTGTTTTTATTTTTACCTTTGCCTATATCCTTTTATTATCAATAAAATAAAATAACTTATTTTCGGTGTATCATATTATGAATGTGCACGCTCTCTTCGCACATGTATGTGTACGTATATGCCGTGTAAAGAAATGCCTAACGCTTCGCTTCCACTTATGTACGCCCACTTATATTTTTCAGTCTTACAATAACCCACAAATTGAGACACTTAAAAAAAAAAGTCCCTGCCAAAGTGTCTTTGCCTAAGGGAAATTTTAGCAGTTGATAAATAACCCACAACGGAAAACACATAAAGATCGCACGGTGCCACGGTGAGAAACATTCTTTGCTTGAGAGATGAGTGTTCAGTAGTAAACACTGGTTATTAACCGACTTCCAAAAAAGGAGAAGGTTATCAGTTCGTCGGAATATTTTTTTTTTTTTTTTTTTTTTTATGTATGTTACCGCATAACTTTGGACCACGTCAACCGATTTCGATAATTCTTTTTGCATCGGAAAGGTAGTGCTCAGAGGTGGTCCCATACTAATCTGGTTAAGATCCGATCAGCGGATCATGAGATATATATATATATATTTTTTTTTTATATGGGAGTTGAAGTCGGTTTTTTTTTTGCTAAAAATTACTAGTTTTCGATATCTGATTACAAGGGCATGCAATTGCTGGCGTATGCTGCTGACATCAACACTGCCTTTTCCGAGTTTGTAACAGCCAAAACGAATCGAGACAGATATAGACAAATGTATACATTAACCCTCTAGTAGGCAGAACCGCCTCCAGACGGTCGTTAACTAAACACCTTTTTAGTGCACCTATGATAATTTTTTTCTATATTCGTAAGGCACGATCTTTAGACAAAAATCGTACCCTTACGGCGAAGTAAATTTTAATCCGTTATGTCAATCCATTTTATTTTAATCGGCAGTTGAATTTCAGACTTTGAAAACACGGTTAAAATTAATTATTTCTTGCTATTTAGGGCGTGTGTCAATCGGTAACAAAGTTTTCGGCAAGTAAATTTTTGACAACTATGAGGTGAATAAAATTTCAGTAGCTCATGAGGCTAGTGAAATTTTTGACAAATGCATATAAAATTTTGACAATCGCAAAGATTGTTGCTGTGTGTAATTTTTCGTAAAACAAAAGCTTAAATTGATGAAATGCAATCAGTGATGGTAGATGTTTTCTTAAAATATTAATTTCACTTCAATTTGTAATAGTTTATTCCGAATAAATCTGCGGTTATCAAAAATTTACTGCTGTCAAAAAAGATTTCATTTCACACAGCAGATTCGCAAAACTGTCTCACCATAGTAAAAATATTATTCAACAGCTTTCCCCATAGAACTTTGTTACCGATTCACACACACCCTTAGTAATTTCGTAATTAAAGAAATTTTTTCTTTTGAAAAATTTTTTGATATAAAAAAATTCGGTGGATTTCGTTGTTAAAAGCATCGTATTTTAATATAAGTTTTATAATTACGTCACCATTCTAAATGGAGAAAATTGCTTTCGAACACAGACCGTCTACAGACCGGCTTGTCGACATATAAAACCCCAGTTTTGCATTTTTGACCGTCTGCAGACGGCATTGCCGGTTCGTAGGTCAACATTGTGTAAGAGAAAGCTGAAAATATGTGTAAGTATATCGGCGAGCCCGTCTCCAGACGGTCTTGGTTTTTCTCCCCTGTAGGAAAAAGTTACTGTCACAGATCGAAATGGACATCAGTTTTGGATTTCTCGTGCTAAAATCACCCATTCCTGAAATTTTCGACTCATAAAAAAATTGGCCTACTAGAGGGTTAATGATCAGAATGAAAAGAGAAGTCGATTGAGCCATGTCTGTCTGTCCGTCCGTCCGTCCGTGTACACGATAACTCGAGCAAAAATTGAGATGTCTCAACGAAATTTGGTATGTGGATTGCCCTTTAGCCAAGGTAGGTTTGAACTGAAAATGGGCAAAATCAGACAATAACCACGCCTACCTCCCATATAACGGTAGTTTTCAGAAATACGAAAACTGCAATATTTTAGTAACTACTGAAGCTTATTCACTCAAAATTGATGTTTACAATTATTTCTAGACGAAAAGTAAGAGTATTATAATTTTTTGGAAAATGGGCGTAGCCACGCCCACTTATGATTGTGTATATCTTGGTAATCGCTAAACTAATCTCTCCGGAGCTTGGCACAGTTGTTAACCTTGGTACAATATACCAAGCGGCTGAAAATTTTTAAAATCGGGCAATAACCACGCCCACATCCCATTTAACGGTAATTTAGGCCCCTATTATGAGTTGCATTCGATCTTCGACTGTGGTCGAAAGTGCTGATCGAACGAATTTTCATTTGGTATTATGGCGCTCATTCGATGAAGAATAGCGCTATTGTGAATTTCGCTCGTTTAGGTTGTTCACAATAGTATATTTCTGTCAGCTGAGACGGTTTGTTTACAAATTGAGCAAATTAAAATAAAAGAAAAGCCGAGTTGATTAAAACGTAAAACTAAATAGTTTGTTTACAAATTTGTCTAAATAAAAATAAATTAAAAAGAAAACGAGTTGATAAGAACTTTATGAAAATGAGTACGACGGAGTTGTGGTTTGACGATTCGTCAGAAGATGAAAGATTAGTGGAGCTGGCCAGAAATAGGAAACGGTTCCAACCCCTTAGAAATGGATTCCACTGCGTAAGTGTGGCCTTCCAAAAATGTTTTGACATATGTAACATTTGGAAATTTTTTTAAAGATTTATAAAAAACTTCCGAGAATGTAAAGAGGCGTTTGTGGACCTGCTGACCACTACAGAAGACCTGCTGAATCAATGCACCCGAGCGAAATCTATTCCACATGTTTTAAAGCTAGCAACAGTTCTGCGATTTTGTGCTCAGGGATCGTATCAACTTAGCATTGGCAATGAAAATATGCTTGGACTTGCACAGCCCATGGTGTCTGTGGTGCTACCAGAAGTGCTAGATGTTTTGGAAAGTTTTGTTTGCCAAAGATGGATAAAATTCAACAGAGGCTCAGCTGCAACAAGCAAAATCACATTTTTATAACAAACGTAGAATTCCAGGAATAATCGGCTGTGTTGATGGCACACACATTAAAATTGTCGCACCCAGGAAGGAACTGCAGGATTTGTATTATAACAGAAAGGGATTCTTCAGCATTAATGCTATGGTTGTAAGTGTACATATATACATATGTGTTATTAACTTCAGATTCTAAATGTGTATGCTTATGTAATTTTCAGGTGTGTGATTATACAATGAAAATACGATACATAAATGCCACATGATTCTATGGTTTTTAATATGTCGTCATTGAAAACTCATTTAGAGCAGCAACATCTTAATGGTCTTCGAAATACTTGGCTACTTGGTATGTTATCAAAACTAAACCAACATGTATTTCCTTTTTTATAATAATTTTCTCCGCCTTAGGTGATGCTGGATACGCTCTGAAACCTTACTTAATGACGCCGTTCAGAAATTCTGAGGAAGGATCTCTACAAAGGGCATATAACAAACAACATGCCAAAGGAAGAAGTATCATTGAGCGAACAATTGGAGTTTTGAAGAATAGGTTTAGATGTTTGTTGCAGGCAAGAGCTCTTCACTATACTCCAAAAAAAGCAACACAAATTATAAATGTGTGTGCAGCTTTGCACAACATTTGCTTGTTCCGACGAGGAGGAGTTTTCAAATGTGACTTATGACGATGATGTCGGAGACGTTGAAGTGGAACCTGTTGACAACTCACAAGCAGAAGACATTAGGAATGAACTTTTAAGAACACTATAGAAAACATGATTAAAAAATATTAAAACCCAGTTACGCCAGAGTTTCTTTTATTAAACTAAAAATCATACACATGTATGTAGGTGCATTACATAAAAAATTATCACAAATTCATTTCCTTATTTTAATATACATTTAAGTTTAAACAGTCTTTCTAAATTCATCATACAGAAAAAAATAGCTCGTTAATTCATTTATCTTAAACTTAAACAGTCTTCTTAATTCTAATTATATAAAAAAAATATCACGTCAATTCATTTTAGGCACTTAGATTAATATAAAATTATGTTCTTGGCAGCATTTGTTTCTTTACCTCCAAAAGCGCAACCTTTAGTTGTAGCTTTGCTCTCCGATCCTTCTGGCTTTGAGAAGAACTTAATTTTTGAAGATTTGTAATTTTTCTTTTTTCAATTGTAAAAGTTCTTTTGCTGTGTCTTTTTTTAAAGAATACATTTTTCTCGTGTACTTTTCAGTTTATAAAGCACATTTTTTAATGTCCTTTATATTTGTAATCATCTCCTCATAGAACCTTTTCTGGGCATTGGTCTGCGCTTCCAGCAACTTCAGCCTCTCTGTCTTGTTGCACTTTTTTGCCCTTGGTTTCCGTGCTGTATTTTCCGGAACTTCATAATTGTGGTCTTCATCGCTCAATCCTAAATTGTCTATTGGTTGCAGGTTTTCATCTGATGGAGCCGCCTCTACCGAATCTAGGCGTTGGTCATCAGCAGTTATATCCAGGCCGAATTCTGCTCCCGGTGGATTCACACAGGCGTCAAGCTCAAGCAAGCCAACATTTTTATATGCTTGTAGCCTGTTCGGTCCTCCACCTGTTGCTCGGTATTCAGCTTTGTTTTGCGCTACTTTCTTTTCAGTTTTGGACTTCATGTCAGTCCACACCTGAAAAGACCAGAACTAAAATTTATTTATACAGAAATCAAAAACGACGCAGTTCACCTTAATCCATTTTGCCGTCGTTCGTATAGGTGGCCCTAAACAATTGAGTTCCTGCGTAAAGTCCTCCCATTTTTTTTGCCGCATTAACCTTTGAGCAAATCCCTTTTGCAAATTGACGATTTTGTTCCATCATTGAAACCAGCATTTCCAGTTGTTGTTTGGTACTCACGACCTTAGACCTGCATGAAATTAATAAACATTGTTTAAAATTACTGTTTAGTCGCCAAAAAATAAAAAAATGAACGCAAAATACTTACATTATCAGCAATTTTCTCACACTACGCTACAGCATCGAAAGCAAAATTCTGTTCGACTGAAAATTCGATACTCAACGAAAATTTCGACAGGGTTGCATACCTCATAATACCAATTTTACATTCGATCTGCGATAACCAGCGAAGATCGAAAATCGAATGCAACTCATAATAGGGGCCTTCGAGAAAAACGAAGTCTTCGATAAATCAGTAAATACAGAAGCTACTTTATTCACACATTATGTTTGCAATAACTCTTTAGCAAAAAGTACATTTATGATAAAACTAGCTGTACCCTGCCACGCTTTGGAGTGGCATATTCCAGTTATATGGATGATAAATGATTAACGAAGCAAAGCATACATTTCGTATAAGTTTGATTTTGTAATAAGTACTTGTTTGCATAATATTTGTGGTTTTTCCATTCTCTGCATAGATTTCAATGATATCTGGTTTGCCGACACGGAAACACGCAACATCTGAGAAGTAACCCGCATCTAAATCTAAACCACACTTTTCCAAAGGTTGACCTTGATTCCGAAAGGTTGATTGTGATTCCGAATGCCAATCGAATTGGGAACTGCAATTTTTTAAATTGATCATGGGAATTCTTCACCTTTGAAAGGCCACGTTAAAATCTTTGCTTACTCTACGTTCTTCATCAATTTCTTATCTGCGAGTCGCGTTCCGTTGCAGAGCTTTGGCTGATTAATATTCCGAAACCTGATTTCTGTACAGCAATTGTTGGAATGTATTAAAAGGTTGCACAGACAATAGATCTAACATCATGAGGTTTAAATTTCATAGTACTGGCTTTTATTTGACAGTTTTATTCGCGTTGGAAGTTGCTGCTCAAAAAATAATGTTTAACAAATTCGTTGAAAATCCGAAATTTTCGAGATCAAAAATCAAATTAAAATTTAATATACCAAAAACTTATAATTATCCTCCAAAAATCAATGAATTGATTCCTTCTGTTGAAACTAACGGGGTAAGCTAATCATTAAAAAACATCATTTCGCACCAGCTTAAGGATATGGCTCTTTACCTCAATTATAAAAAAAAAATCGGCTTATCAGAAGAAGATCGCGCGAGAGAATTGGAAAACGATTATCCACAGTTCAGCGAATGCAAGCTATGGCAAGACTTAAACCTTCTGTTATATTAAATACATTTTATAACAAAACCCGCACCCGTTTACTTTACCCCAATGTTCTCGCCAAATGTGGCATTTTATAATAATGACTAATAAAACATGTTTAAAACTGGACTTCGGTCAACTCGCACGTTAAAAGTTTTAAGCTTAAAAGAAACAGGGTGATATCCTATTACAACTGAATCTATAAAAGTTGACACAGCTGTCAAAAGGCTATGAAATGACAAGAAAATCGAGGCAGTCTCATTAAAACTCTATCAGACTCCACAATGGGTCATATGACTCCAGAAATATGCTGGAAGGAGCGCTTTCATAAAGTGTTTTTTTCATTGTATCATTTACTTTAGACCTTTTGTAAAGTGTTGGTTGGTTTTTATGAAAACTAATTATTCACAGGTAACTTTAAATCGGTTTGAAGCCAATGATGTGAATAAAGTTCTGGAAGTCATCAATTTACGAATATGACCTATCTAAGTCAAATCGAAAAATACATCGTAAGTATTTAAAAAAATTAATAGAGATGTGCGAGCTGTAGAAAAACCTAAACTAAAGATAGTTTAGTAGAGCAAGTTGACTACATAAGTCTCTAGAACGGGTGTTCAGAAAAATTGTATCATTGGGTAGGTTCAGAAGGTGCAGAAGTTGAGCGCAACCGTTGTTAAAAAATCAATGATCGTAATGCGTCTTCTGAACGGCTTGATACATTAGCTGTCAAATTCAAAACACACAACACGTTGTCTCAAATGATCAGAAAAATATTACGATCATCTAACACGCAACTGTTCAGTTGATCAGAAGTACAAAACAACGTGTTCAGAAGGTGCAATCGCAACAGTTACTGAGCTGTTGCGCCTTCTGAACGTGCCCATTATCAAAGAAATTGTCTCTTATTTATTTATCCAAGCAAAATATGAAACTTTCGCTAACATGTATCTATAACGGAATGTTTTTCCTTTATTTTAACATATTAAATATTATTTTCTGAAAACCTATCAAAAAGATATAATGGTGCATTTACATGGTATGAAGCCATATGAACTGTTGATAAGCTAAAATAGAGGGACTACATGTTCTTCTGAGGAATTCAATGATATCGAGTGGGATGCATATAATAGATTTTTTCATATGAAAAATTATAGGGAGATTCTGTAAACATACTGTTGTGATACTGTTAAGCATATGAAATTATAGCAAGTTGGATTTTCATACATCTTCCCATAAAAAGTTTAACAGATGCAGAGATACCAAGGAGGTTTTTTCCCATTTTGATGCCTTTTTTAATATAAAACCCACCGAAAAGGAGGAAAGCGGCAACTCCGCCATTCACATACATGTCAAATGTAGGAATTTTAAAAATTAAAAACAATAAACAAACAATTTCAAAACAACAAAAAATCTTTGTACTAGATCTTTTTCAATAGAAACAATTCACGTATGGTGGACAATAAAAATACAAAGCACTATGATAACAAGACATTACACAACATTTTAATGAGCTTTATATCACATTTAAGTAAAAATAAGCCTATATTTTCCAAGCTTGCAAAGAAATGAAAATGTGTATTTTTTGTTTACAAAAAGACTTGCCAAATATACATATAAGTCAAAATTATAGAAGGCATGTATACTTCTCCCTCTCATTTTTTCATACAGTTGATGCTTCTTTCTGGCTTTTACAAAATGCAGGGATACCACACTTATTTCGGTACAATATGATCGTAATGTATTTTCAATTCGAAATTAAAGAAAAAACATCCCACGAAAATGTTTGCCATTGTAGAACAATAAGTGTATATTTGCAAACTAATGCAATGAATGGAGTGTCATATCTTAAAAGGTTGGGAGAATTAACGAAACAAACATTTTGTGGTCTTATGTTTCCTTCAAACCGCATTGCTATTTTTTCTAACTCTTCCTTTTGTTTAACGCTGTAACCGCTTAAGTTATATTATTTAATTTATACATGTGAGTTATTTTCAATGAGCATTTTTTCATTTACTCCTGAATTTTGGGTACATTTTCTTATAGTACCTCGCATTATTTTTTTATATTACATATCGATGGCTGAGTGGAAGATCGACCTATTAGCAGCCAGTTCGAAAACGCCCTATCTCAGAAAAATTTTCAACAACGATCTATCTCAGAAAACTTTTCAAGAATGCCCTACTTCAGAATTTTATTGAAAACACCCGATCTTAGCTGCCGATTCAAAAACGCCCTATCTCAGCTTATTTTCAATGTATTTTCGTTTGAGATAGGGCGTTTTTGAACCGGATTATGAAATAGGGCGTTATTCAACCAAATTCTGAGATAGAGTGTTTTTCAATAAAATTCTGAAGTAGGGCGTTTTTGAAAAGTTTTCTGAGATAGGGCGTTTTCGAACTGGCTGCCGAGATAGGTCGATCTTCCACTCAGCCATCGATATATACACACCGCTGTTCGCTGTCGCTCTTCTATTGGTAATAGTAAACCTCCGAGTGTATTCTGTCATGAAAACAGCTTCTCATCAAAATACAATTGCCGTTCGGAGTCGGCGTAAAACTGCCCTTCCCCTTTGTGTGACAAAATCAAGGTGCACGCCCCATATGGGAGGAGAAGCTAGGCCAAACACTAACATATTGTGTAAGCGCCAATCTGTATATCGTCGTTTAAAGTAAAAAATCGCGTATCGTGGTTCTGCAAAACCTCGTAACTGACATTTGTGCCAAAAAAAGATTTTTGAGCACCGGAAGCTCCTATCATGAAGCCCTTAATCATTTATACTAAAATTTCGATACTTAGACATACGAGATAAATAGACGAGATAGAAGAGATAATTAAGTTTAAAATAGGGAACCGTTTTGAATTATGACAAATTTTACTCTCTCCTATAAAATTTAGGCAACCTCTTTCTTCTTCTTGATGCGCGGTTTTGTACTTTAAATCACGATATGTAAAAGTATTGCATACATATTTTGGTGCCTTTTCAAGTATAAAATGCATTGAGAAACGAAAGAAAACGGCATCCCTATGATTTCAACTTATGCCAAACGTTTTTAATATGAAAGACAAAAAAAGTAAACAAGCAATTTCTGAACAAAAAACTGTTTATCCACAAAGATGTTTGAATGGAAGCATGACACATTTGAAAAAATAGCAAACCGCAAGACTTTATTGGCAGTAGGTCCTTTTTAAAGCACATTAAAAATAAAATAAGCTTCTAGTTTCGAAGTTAGCACAAAATGAAATTTTTTTGTTTCTTGTTTACAAAAAAAAAATACTTGCCAAGTATATAAGTCAGAAATGTTAAATATATATCGCTTTCATTCATTTCTTTATAGAGTTGGTGCTTCTTTTATAGGAAAATTCATACGGCTTATGAACAGATTCATACCATGTAAATGCACCATAACCCATTTCATGCGTACCGATTTTGAGTGAACTATGCTTTTAAATTTTAGTATGTGGGATTATCCCTGGAAGATCAATCGAGTCCAAAAATTCCGTTGGATAGTTAACTGCTTCATCTGTTTCCATAACTGTGTTTATCGACGTATATGTTATTTCTTCACTTTGAATGCTGGATTGAATATTATTATTATTGAACATTAGTGGTATTCACCAAAGTGAGCAAATGGCCTGGCAGTCTGGTAAATGAGCAGTTCAGTTCAAGCAACGACTGTTTTCAATACCACTATTATTTAGTTGATAGACATCCTTATTCTTCGCAGCAAGAATATCTCGCTCACTGAGCCAATCGTGATTCCTATAATAAACTTTTTTAATTAAGAAACATTCTTAAGTTCTCCTTTCGATGTTTCTAAGTCACAAAAATTATCAGGCAATACAATTCGTCTTAATCTCTCATTGGCTGGCAGCTTTCCGATCCGAATGTCCTTAATTATCGCGATGATGACTCGGCTGCAGTTTATGTATGTTCGTCTTACCACACTGTTGACTATTTCGGGCAAGCATTT